TTTTTTAATTTTAAAGTTGGGCTGGCTATTATCCCCCGAAATACGGAAAAACTCAAAATAAAAAAAAACGTGCAAAACAGTGAATCCCTACAGTCTACCGAAAACAACAGCACATAGTATTAGTATAGGGAAATGCTACTGTTGTTACGGAATCATTTTATCGAAATTTTGCAACTGTTAAATCATCATGTACTATCGTGAATAGTTGATTTAACGATTACAAACTCCAACGAAATGTAACGGGAATGTGCATCTCATAATCTCACATTGTTTTACACCCCGAGTTAATTAAGCTTAAACAATGGAATAGTAATAAGATTTAATTAATTTGCAAGTTGATAGAACGAACAACCGACAAAAAAAATCAGTAAAAACAAATTGCAAGTGCAAGCAAAGTACCAAAACCCAAGAACAAATCACGGTCACATGCACCAATTAATTCACATTCCCCTCATTTTTTTTTTTTTTTTTTTTTTTTTTTTGTGTGTGTTTTGTTTTGTAATAAAGCATAGAGAATCCGAATTACCTTTTCCTGTAAAGATGTGATGGAAAAAAGAGAGCCCTTTTCAGTATCTCTCGCTTTACTTTATACTACACAAATTCAACCCATATCATATTTTTATTTATTAATTTTTAAGAACAGGATTCTTTATGGAACTATTGAAATTTGTAACCGCTAGATCATCATGTAACTATCGCGGATAGTTAATCTAACAGTTACAAATCCTGACGACATTGTTCCGTCGCGGAACCGTATAATCTCCCTAAAACATAATATTTAAATTTAAAAATAGGAATCACCAAAAGGTCCAAAAGAGAAAAGTGAAGGGAAATGGTTCTAAGTTCAACTTAATAGTCCCTTATGTACATAGATTAATAATACTAAAAAAAAAACGCAGGGGAACCTTGAAAAAAAATAAATGGCAACATTAGCGCTAAATTCGAGGTTATTTGGACCAAAAAGATGAAATAAATAAAGTCTAAAAAAAAAGGGAAAGAAATAACAACCCTACTACTCTCTCTCAAGTTCGATCGGTACGGTTCTTATTGTGCTGCTGTTGCTGTTGGACCCTGTTGTTCACGCCAACGGCGTTGCCGCCATCTTTCTTCTGCTGAGTTGAGAAGAGACCGAAAACGCCGGATGAGCCGCGCAGCGAACAAACCGGCACGTTGAGAACCGGCGCGAACCGGACGTTCGCCGAGTACGACCTCTCCATACCTCGCGGCTTGTACGGCCGCGGCCCGCCGTTGAACGTGCTCGGGCTGCTTGAGCTCCTCTCCAGCCCGTGGAACACGATCTTACCGTACGAATTCATCCGCGGGCTGTCCACTGACACGCCGCGCACCGGTGTCGAGGACTCCGGGTTTCCCCGCGCCGGGCTGCGGCCGTCGCAGGGCTCCGCGGACCTGCGCTTGGCGAGTCTAACTCTGGAGAGGTTTCCGGCGGGCGGCGGCTTGTCGGAATCGAGGGAGAGGCGGGGGAGATCGTCGTGCTCGTGGCCGGATGAGGAGGAGGAGAGAGAAAGTCGGGAGGAGATGGGTACTGAGTCGTTGTTCTCCGATTCCTTCAGCAGGGGGAGAGTCAGGGACGCCGATTCGACGGAGGCGTTCAATCTGGAGGCGCGGTGGAGGAGGTGCTTCAGATTTCTGGCGGATTTGACGTTGTTTTCGTTTGGGGAAGACGGCGGGGACGAGGAAGAAGAAGACGAGTACGACGTCGTTTTGTGAGCATCCTGCTTGATCTGGTACAGTTTCTTCAACCCGAGCATCTTCTTCCAGCGGGCGGTGCATCCCGGGGCCTTGGGGGAGAACAGGTAGGGATCCGTCGGGGACACCTCATTTCTCCGTCGAACGTCTGGCAACTCCGCCGATCCGACTCCGGCTGAAGCGCCGTCCGGCACCACCTCCCGCCGGATCGCGGCGAGGTGGAGCGGGACGAGCTTCCCGTCGGAGAACAGCTCGTCAGCCGTGAGCATCGCCACCGGATCTACAAGCCGGAACTCGAAATCGCCGAAACCGCCGCCGGATGACTCCGGATCTGGATTCTCCAGCATCTCCTCGTCGGCATTGACCGACTCGGCCAGCTTCTTCCCGGCGGACCCGTCGGAGGCCGCGTCCGGCATCTCCTCGTCGGGAAACTTCGTGTACCGGGGGCTGCTCAGCCACCCGTAGGGCGGAGGACGGTCCAGAAAACTCTCCGGCGGGATCCCGACGTTGTTCACGCACGCCCACGCCATCTCCGACGATCATACACCTCTCTAAACACAAACAAAAAGAAAAATGGAAATCAAAAACACTAAAAACGCACTAAAAACTCTGCTGTCGTCTCCAATAAAACGCCGGCGAGATTAGGTTTTGGAATCTGTGAAGATGGGCTTGTGATGTGAGTGAAAGAAAGGGCACTGTTTTGTTTGTTGTGAAGGGTTTTAGTGTGGGTGGTGATTGTGCGCCCCACCGGAGGGCAAAGAGAGTACAATAAATAGTGAGCGAAAGTACGGTGGGGCCCGCGTCTGACGCCAATAAAGAAGAGGCACGTGTTAATCTTGTTACAATTTTCAGGTGACGTGGCGGGAAGCTTGAGATCGTTGCTGGATGCTTCTTGGAAGTATCCGCTTCCCTTTTTGAAAATTTAAGGCCTATGAGAAATTACGAATATAGTCATGAGGGGATGTGTGGTGGTAAGTTAGGGTGTATTTGTTAAGAACATATTCAATAACTCAATTTTAACTCAATTTTACTATCTTTAATATTTTTAATAAATTTAATAATAACAATCAATCATAGTTCATAAAAAGATTATATAAATTAAATGCCAGATAGTCGCTGAAGTTTCAGAGAAAAACATCAAACTTGAAGAACAAAGAAAGTCTATAACAGCACAATACAGAACTTGAAATTCGAATCAAGATGTTAAAAGTTAAAAGTCTTTCCTTCTAAACAAAGTTGATATGTAAACCGCAAAATGTACATGTCTAGCCATTGATCATTCGCAAAAACTACACAGATAGCACAAAAAGAGCATCAAAACAAGCTCTCAAAAACTCGTGAAAAACAAAACAAAACAAAAAAAAACACGAAATAGCAAATTTGCACTGGTACGCTGGTGGGCAAACTTCAAAATCTCTTCTTCCACCATGAAAACAGGGGCCAAACAAAGATAATGAAACTGTAATTGCCTCAACAAGTCATAAATCTTGCAATTTCAAACGATTCCTTTTATGAATCTTATCCCCCACAAAAACGCAAAAGAAACCTGTTTTAAGTTTTAACCAACACCTTCATTCACGAGCCACCACCAAAACCCATCACGGGCATTGACCGCTGGGCAAACTCAAGCAGCACCTTCCTCTGCTGCTCGCTTGTATGAGGAAGGCTCGCCCGCAAGAGCTCCACCGGCATCTCCCGACTGATTGCCTTTGCCAACTCATCCGGTGAGCCATGCGAGGACACGGCTAAACATTGCTGCACGACAGAATCATACTTGTTGAAACAGTACTTCGTGAGCAGCCCGAAAAAAGCATCGAACGATGCCTGCCAGAACGCCCTCTGGTGCGCGCTGCAGCTTTCCGCCGCGCGTGGGCCCGTCAGAAGCTCGGTGGCCCTCTCGAGCACCGAAACGAGAATCACAGAAGCTCCGTCACCTGCCGAATGCCCGACAGGGCGGAGGGGCGGGTGCTCGTTCGAGCAAACCACCGAAGCTAAACATGCCGCAAGTGGCTTGAGATCCAAGAACCGAACGCACAATGAGAGGGCCCTCGCCAGGCTGGCGACCACTTCCGACAGCTCTCGATTGGCTGGCGTGTTCCCGAATAAAAACCTCAAGTTACGACAAACAGCCATGCACACGACTCGGCTGAGCTCACCTCCCGGTGGGAGGAGCTCGAGGTACCTCATTAGGAGCTTCTTCCCCTTGGGAAGAGAGATTAATCGTAAAAAAACAAAATCGTCCCCAGGAGCTAAATTCACCGTGTTCCCATTTCTAGCAAGAGGGTCGACGAGCTGCAAGGACGAAGCCAGGCCTTCGAGAAGGATTTGCCTCCTTTGCCTCAGCTGGGCCCCACCATCCGGGAGTTGGTTGAACTGCAGAAAACGATCGATATCGTCCACATCGAGCAAAAGGCATATACCGTCCTCAATAGCCACTCGGGCCGCAAGCATGGGCTCTTGCTCGAGAGGCTTCTGAGTAACTTTCGACTCAGCATATTCACCGCTGTTTTGGGACAAATTTGGTGATTCCACCTCGAGGAGCGGACGGGGCCTTTTTATGGAGGAGAAGGAGACTCGCCCGAGGGCATTGACCTGGAGGAAAGGGTGTGGCTCGTCGCTCGAATGAGGTTTCGAGGAATTGTCTCTCAAATTAGTCGGGCAGAAATGATGTCTCAGTTTAGCGTTAGCCGATTTTCGAGCCAGGATGGCTTGATGGTAGTAATCCTCGGCATACGGGTCGTTGCTGTGGGTTGCGGCAAGTTGCATCCTGTGGATGTTATCGATCTCGTCAGCTGACATGTACTTCGACTTGAATCTCGTCCAATTCGAGCCTCCTGGGTGAGGATGGCGAATCATGGAATGTCTAGCTCTTGGAAGCAAGTCGAAGTTCGGTGGGGATGCAGAAAGGTGCTGGTTTAATATTTGAGTCTGTAAATGGGAGATCGGCGGCTGGAAAGGACGCTGCATTCCAGTTCGCTGAGGTGGCATCATCTGAGGAGGCATTAAACCGTTCTTATGGTACACACCGGCATGATTCAAGTGTTGGTTATGGATTTGAGTGTTGAGTGAGAGGCCATGAGGTGGTACCTGAGGCAGATTGAGATTTCCACTGAACTGAGGCCCATGGGGCGAGACGCTCATTTGAAGCTGAGAATTGATTTGTGGGCGGAATGGAATATTGTTACTAAACTGGCCATTGGGTGAAGCTTGGTGAGATGATCTCCCTCCGGGAGGTGGGTAGGAAGTGAATGGTGAGTTCGGGACAAGAATTGGTTCGCTCGAATGCTGGTGGCGTAGGCCTACTTGCAGTGGGTGTGGATGTTGCTGCTGTTGCTGTTGCTCGGGGTATGAAGATGTTCTGTGTAGTGAATTGGGTTCGATAAAGCGGGCTGAGGAAGAATATGGGTGTGGGGCCCATTTCGGGCTTTCTTGAACTGTTTCGGTGTCAAACGCACGCTGATCGAGCCAATTACTGTAATCAGTGTCTCGGGCCAACTCGGAAGCAGAGGAACCTGATGAAAAATAATGATATAGTTAGGTTGAAGGCAGTGACGATACAGAAACAGAATGAAACACGCGCTTTGTATAAACACCCGTATGCTATATTAGGGAGAATTCAAACCGTGTACTTATTTTCCAAAAACTGTGGAGTATTACATACTAAAATGGCCGATTTTATCATTATCAAGATGGACTTAAGATGTATAATTGGAAAGAGCAGGTTCATAAAGATTTTCAGAAAAGGTAGGATGAGTTTGAGACTTTAAATACAGGCTTGAGATTTTATCATGTTCTTCATCATAGAAAGTAAATATGCAACTTGGTGAATATTTAAATTTTTCGGACCCAGACAAACATGATAAATAAGCACTACCATTACAATTGTTGAGATAAAGAGGCTTATTGTAACATTTTTATTGAGATGTAAAAGTACTAGCTCGATTAACGACTGACATATGCACACAGCCAAATGTATACAGCACTGAAGTAACAAAGATGATCAGATTCAGTTCACTCACTTTCTCTGGATCCCCATTCTCTCCTAACTCCAGCATTAGTTTGCCCACCAGCAACTGTGTTTAACTGTATTTGAAAATTATTAAAAAAATAAAAAAGAAGGTAAGGGTATGAGATACCAATATTTTTAGCAGATTGTGCTAGGCATGGAAAGAATGTGTGCAAGAAAGAATCAGAATATGATCCCTCAGAAACATACAGAATACAGTTAATTCTTTAACATGAACAACTTCAAATATTAAAGACCATGCTGCATATAAGAAAAATATATTCTTCCGAATCAGAATGTGGGTAAAGTTTGCAGCATATGGGAAGCGTCACCTTAGAAAACGTGCATGAAAGATCATCAATTTCAGACAGAGATCCCAATACATCTTCCTGCATAACAGAAGTCACCACAAAGTATGAATTATTCTTATAACTATAATTCACATGATGTGCATATAAATCCAAGAAATAGTTACTCAAACAGCTCCATGACTGCTTGGGTGTAAGAGAGAGATCTCCAGAAAACTAAAGGGTAAATCATTTATGGTGTGGCTATAGAGGTCATATAAAGCAATAAAACGAGATTTTAAACAAACAAACCAAACTGACTACAAGATTATGATCTTTCTTTTGAGTGGTATGAGGTCAGAAGAGACAAGTCATTTGATCTAGAGGCAAGATTATTCAACCATGCAAAAATCTTGCTAAAGCCCATCACTGTTATCACTTATGGTTCAACACTAACACAAATTACAATAAAAGACAAGCATGGAATAAACGCAGATAGACAGAGTGACAAGGTCAACACTAACAGAAAATAAAGGTAATGTCAACTACTTCAACACTTTTTAAAAACAAAGTTTCTTATTTATGCAGAATATGATCAACCCAATCAAAGAAAAAAAAATAAATCCATAAGGTCTAAAGTAACAAAAGTGGGATGTTAAGTGAGCTCATAATACAGAGGAATAATTTGGAGATACCAATGATGAATCCCACGGCTTCACACATTTGGAAAAGTTAACTATCACATACGCCTTGAAACTGCTTGTGAATAAAGCAAAACGGCCTGACATAGCAACATGTGAAAGGAAAAACACAACATAAAAGCTTAAACAGAAACCTCTTCCTTGCCAAACTGAAACTCTTCTTCCTCAAACCCAACTGGAGTAGGATCATCATCTTCGTCTTCTAAACCTCCAAGCTCGACTTCATCAACCACATCGCCACCAAAGAACTCATATTGGGAAGCATCAAATACAGCACTCCCTGCACCACAAACAACAGTACCACAAACTCAATTCCAATTAAAATATAAATAAACACCACCTTAAATTTCTAATTCTTAGGTTGCAACAAAAAGTCAACAGATAAGTTGGGTATTCCCAAATCCCAATCAAACCAAACCGTAAATAAAGAACCTAAACAGTCATCGAGAAATAGACTAAGTCTAATAAAACGACACAGTTAACTGGTAAAACAAACACGCAATCCACGACCAATATAGGAAGCTTAAAATCTACACTGCAAATGGGAAGCATGCCAAGGCAGTGTATCCTCAATACAATCTCTAAATTCCTATAAACCACTCAAGTATTCCCAGGACTTTCATGAAAGACCACGAACTACCATTAAACAACACAAGAAGGAAATTTGAAGTGAATAAGAAACACCCAGAAGTAAACTACAATCAGATCTACACAAAAGCAAGTCAGAGTTTAAAGATATATATCTACAAAGCATGGCTATGGCGGCTCACCTGTGGGATTCTCAGCAAATGATTCGAGATGCTGTAGCTTGGACGAATCTCGAATATCCCCTCCACCTCCATATCCATCCATTTCAAAATTTTACACTAGAATCACCAAAATCTTTCACTCTCAAACTACCACTAAGCCGGACAAAAACCCTTCAAAAATCTTGTGAAACCCTAAGTAACAGAAACCCTAGAACCCTCTGAATCTAAAAGATAACGAGAACCCGAATAATTCTTAGTTCTACACCTTATCTCGAAATGGAGGATCTATATTGAAAGATGGGTACCGCAGCAAATCGTCTGCAATTAAGGAGAAAATGATAATTTCTAATCCCTTCTACAAATCCTCAAGAAGGTCCTCAATCTACAAGGGATGGTGAGTGTTTTTCTCTTTATAGCCATGAAACAGAGATAAGGAACCAGAAAGGAAGGGTTGAAGTGAAGAAGAAAGCTTCAGGGGGCTACGCGTGTGTGTATATTATATATACCCTGCGCAAATTTGTATGTAGATGAGAATGAATGATTGATTGATTTGGGGATAATTAGGGTGGAATTTATTTTTTTTTTTTTGCAAAAATTAATAAAAGAAAAAAAAAGGGTTGGAACGGAAAGGTTTTACAAATGTGGAAAAACATTTGTGACCTAAGTGCATTATAAAGTTCGTGTATTGTTTTTGCTTTGGAGGGACATCCTTGGTTTAGTTTCTAGTTGTTTCCTTTTTTTCTTTTTATAAAATTGAGGTCATTAATCTCTTTGTTGATTACGAAATTAGCTAATTTGAACTAATTAATGGGAGATGCTACAGTTCCGTTACAGAATCATTCCGTCGGATGTCGAGTTGTAATCGTTAAATTATCATGTAATCGTCGGGGAAGTTGATTTAACGATTACAAACCCCGACAGAATGGTTCCGTAACGGGACCGTAATATTTTTTCCTAATTATATTAGTGTATAGATGATACCGAACTAATAGTTGATTATATTAGTTGTTTGTATATAATTATTTAATTAATAATGAGTTGTATAATTATTTTAAATTTTGAAGTTAATATATTGAACTACAAATCATGACTTTTTAAAATGCACCTATAATGAACTATGCATCCTATATCTCAGAGAAGTTTTTATATTGAACGTTTTAAAAATTAACGGTTGGCCCAAAAGCCTATTCAAAAAAGTTATTTACAAAACAAGATAATTGGCAAATTTGACGGTAAAACCTCTACATGATGATCATTCTGTCAATTTATATCAATCCTTTAACATCCAAACAACGCCATTATCTATCATAGATTTCTCAATGTTTTCTTAATTAAAATAATCCATATTCAACAATTATCTCCACTCTAGTGTTAATTTTACTCTACTATAAAGTAGAGTTTAGCGAAAAATCAAAGCATGCCTTGTGTTCACTTTACAAAAATCGGTATAAGCAGCACCTAGGGGATAGACGACACCCAGGCGCCACGATTTTTGCCTAGACGGTCGTTCTAGGCGCTTCAAGCACCGTCTAACCCAACTCGGCGTCGCCCAGGTGGGCTATGTGGTTGTGAAGGTACTTGCGCCTAGACGGGCTAGGCGGACGCCTAGGCGGTCTTGGCGGCGTCTAGGCGCCATATATTTTTTTTTCAAAAATTTTCAATTTATTTTTAAACAAGGAGAAATGATTTTAATTTTTAAACATGATATTTATATTAGTATAAAATATTTATAATCATTTCACAGTTAATAATAATTATGAATATATTTGAATTTGCATAATTTTTGAATTCGAACTTATTAATTAATATATTTCTTATAATATATCTTATAAATTGGGCATGATGAGAGATATAATAAATTTAATAACATTTTCTTGACCCTACTGTTTGTAGTATTTTTTTTCGAGTCAATCAAAAGATCTACCTCGGTCGAACCATAACAAATTACTAAATATGCAAGCGTTAATTAAAGATCTATATTTTACCTATGTCGAAGTTTTCAAAACTAGCAAAAAGACAAAAACAAAAAAAATAGAACTAAGTTTTAATTAAAGATCTAAATTTTACCTGTCAAATTTTTCAAAACTCGCAAGAAAACAAAACAAAGAGAAAAAAACTAAGCCTAACGCAACTGGAGGCTAAAGTTAAACGATCAATTGCGAAAGAACCAACCTTTAAACCAAGTATCGATTTTTATTATGAAATATTCAAACTTTAACGAACTAATTACACTAGATAAGTGATATGAGATAACAACACCAGGCCGACTGGACCGGAGAGACAACCAAACCGAACCGAACCAGACTGGTCATTAGGTCGAACGGAGGATGGAGATTTCTCGTGTCGAAAGACCCTCAAGTCGAAGGAGACATTAAAGGCGCAGAGAACGCTAGGAGGTCGAATAGAGGTCCTGGTCGAAACACACCTCGAAAGAGCATTTGGTCGAGGGATCGACCAGGTGAACATGACGGTTGGGCGCATGGATGGTGACGTTGCTCCTCGAAATAATCGAGGACGAGTGCAGGATTAGACCACTTAATATGGAGGACTAATGGAATAAGAAGGAATGTTAATGGAATTAAACCCCCACATGGGCAAAACCACGTGGCACCATCAGATTGGTCCACCCTTCATAACCGTATCTGACAACTCGGATGACTCTGACAACTCTAACAACCGAGGCAGCTCACGCGTTTTCAATCGAGGAGCTTACGTGCTTGACTTGGGCCATACATCTTCCTATTTAAGGGAGTAAGGTATGTCTTGAAACACATTACATTCTCTATCACACTTTTCATATAGCACTTCATCTGCTTCAAGTGTTAATGTAGGCATCGGAGACTCTTTACCGGATATCCCATCCGGTGTGAGAGTTCTGCAGGTTCGAGGAAGTTGAATCGACAACCAACTCAAGATTCAGACGTTTCGAAGGTCTTTGCTATACCAATAAACAAAATAAAACGGAAGATATAAACTTTAACTAAAACTCAGCCTAAACACATAACTCTGGTCAAGACACCAAATTCACCTTAAATAACTTCATAAGCGAAAAGGACCAAAAACTGAAGTAATAAGTTCTAAGCAAAGAACTTACTCTTATTTTGCGAGCTCGAATGAAATTAATACGAAAAACTTGAAATGATATTTAAAAACGGCCTCGTTAGAAACACGAGTCTCGAAACTCCGAAGAACATAAAACTACAGATAAAACTGAAATAAAGATAAATCCTAGGTAAAGTGTATTTATACCCAACAGCTAAATGCAATGGAACATGTATTTATACCCAACAGCTAAAACACACTCATTAAATGAGAAACACTCGCAAACTAGCTAAAGTGTTCGTCGGTTCTTGAGTTGGCAAAGCACTCGCAAGCTCGTTGGGATGCTCGCTGGCTCATGGGCAGTGATTCATCGACGACGGTGTGCATTCTCTTGGCGACGGGTGCACACGTCACGTGTGATGTCTCAACAACGGGCGCAGAGACTTCGTTGGTCGCGAGTCTTGGGGATGTGGGGCGAGTGACACTCGCGAGGTAGCAGGCGAGGTCGCATGGTCACGAGTGCAGGCATTGTAGGCAATGCGTGACACTTTTGAGACAACGGGTGCAGTTGCGAATGCCTACTTCCTCAACGACGGTTGTCATGTGTTGTTGCGTCCCTTGACAATGCACAGGTGGTCTACGGGCGACCTCAGCGATGCATGGGCCAACGCAGTCGCGTCTCTTGACATCGCGCGAGCGATGCTTAGACGACGCGGGTGCGGTTTGTGCGAGCAACGTGCATCTTCGATTGGTGTGGACGGGCCAACACTCGGCCTGAGCTGACTGGGCACTCGACTCAGCTGCTGGGTGTTCCGTTTGAGCTTGCCGAGCGCTGCATTCTTTTCGTGAACTATCACACTTGTTACAGTTAAACTTCCACACTTTTGGTAGATTTTCAATGACTTCGAGAGAGCATTTTTTCTCCAAAATAAAAGATAAAAAGAAAAGTAAAAAAAATGCCAAAACTACACGAAAACACAAAAACAATTACATAGATCGAGAAAAACTAAAATAAACTAAAAGGAAATTAAATAGAACACTTAAACACAATACTCAAAATAACAACAAAATAATTACTGACTTGTCCATTTGAAGGGTTTTTATTGATTTATCCATTTACATAAATAATTATTGAAGATTTTCTTACGAAGTCTCCCCCTGAACGATATTACGAACTACGGCGGCAAAGAGCTCAAGAGCCGCCCTCACCACACACCAGTCACAGACCTGCTGCTCGATTTCTTCTCAAATACATCGTCTCTGCGGTTTCTATCGTTAATGGCGAGATTAATGCTGTGCTCTCCATCCCTAGCGCTCAATCCCTCTCTCATTTTCCGATGCCCAAACCTTCTGAAGACCTCGCACTCAATGCTCGTCGTCAGGCGGCGCTTCTCAGCCGCAAGGATAAGCATGAACTTGAGAGCCGGCATCGTTGGCCTACCCAACGTCGGAAAGTCTACTCTCTTTAACGCCGTCGTATGTCCTTTTTTTTTCTCCCATTTTTTTTAATGTTTGAATTAATTGGAGTGGTTGAAGCAATTGAAGTCTAATACCATGTTTGTTGTGTTGCGTTTATTCATGAAATTAGTAGTTCAAGCCTTTATCTTTCTTGTTTTGGATGATAATTCGTGAACAAATGGGCATTACAGATGATACGATTGGCATACCAGAGCTTGTCTTATTGTCTATTTGCATTGCGTTGGACAATGAATGATTGTTTGTTTGAGGATGTTTTAGTGTAACATCTATGTGAAACAACTTGAGAATTGGAATTCTGCTGAAAATAGAAGCTTTTCTCTTACACTGACCAAACACCAAAGTTTTGGTTTTTTTTTTTTTT